GAGCTGATTGGTCCGCTGTTTTCCGATAGTGATTCTTGAGTTTTCTTAAACTTTGCTATGGAATAGCAACAAGCTCCATCACATTATTGAAAACGGCAGTAAAATGGAGTGTTCACAGCATTAGACTATGCGTCTGTATGTTTTGTAATGTATTGGAAAAATTGTGACTAGAATAGCCATAAAGGGTGTGTGAGGTTCTCGAAAGAGACACCAGCGCTCAACTCGACTTGTGGGAGTTCTCCGTAAGGTGTGATGTTCAGTTCCAGAGGCCTGCCTTCTCGCGATCGTATAGCCTAAATCAGTATTCAATTATTTGGGGCAAAATATTTGTGGTAAGTGAAAGCAACCCCTCCTGGTAGCGTGAGTCTCAAACAGGGTCAACCGTCACGTTGGACCGATTTCGAAAATTTTACGACCCCCCCCCTTCTAGAGGGCCTCGATACGACCCCCCCCTCAGGGTCAACCCTTCACCACCCTCGCCTGCCATCGCCATCATGGGGCTCATTCTATAGTATTCGATTCTGAGACCAGTCGACACAGCCCAAACTCCGCCCACTTTTTTCCTCCAAAATTGCCGTCGAGCGGGGGGTATATACCTACCACGAAACCGCAAAATTTCCCAATTTCCCTATATATTTCCCTTCATTTCCCCCAGTTTCCCTCTTTTTCGCCTATATTTCCACAAGGGGGGGGGGGTGTATACGCACGCTGAAACGGCAAAATTTTAGCGCGCCAACCAACTGCATCATCACTTCCCTTACTGTAACATTAACGCTACCTCGCGAAATACGACCCCCCTTTTTCCACCCCAAATACGACCCCCCACCCCTCGTTGGACTTTGTCCAACGGACGGTTGACCCTGGTCTCAAGAACGATCCTCTCTGGGACCGTGAGGTATGCTTCCCCCGAACAGGAGAGGGACCCCATCCTGGTAAGGTATGCTCTCCCCGAAAACTCTCGGGAAAGGCAATGCCACCGGTTCTCGGGGATGTCTCCCGGACTGCATGTCAATCACGGGGATATCTCCCGATTGCATGCCAATCGGGAGATATCCCCGAAAACCGGTGGGTGTGCTCTTCCCCCTAGAGCTCTAGGGGCATACCGTACCAGGATGGCATACCTCTCCTGTGCGGGGAAGCATACCTTACAGCCCCTGGGCTAGCAAAGCGCTCTGTGCTTCCAGAATTCATGGTCTTTGTATCAATCTGGTGATCGTACCTTTAACCCACAGAAGTATGCCGCTGGTTCAAAGTCAATGTAAAGCTTGTGAGCGACGAGATGTGGTTGATCCAAAACATTTGCTATGTCATCGACGCCGAAAATACATGACCCAGACGACATTTTGCCTGAAAAAATATTGTATTTGTTGCTGAAGGTTTGCCGGAAAATTTAGAAAAAAACTTTTACAGTGTTAGTTCGACTTCGTCTATGCTTGGCTTGTGCAGTTTTCAATATGCTCGAATTAACAAAAATCGCCTAATTTGGTGAAAAATCCGAGACTTTGAATGCGGCTCGTTTGAGTTCCTCGCGTAATGTTATCACAAGCGTGAACAGGGTGAATAACGGTCGAGGAATTCCTCGACCATGGCTCTCTGCTGTGTGAGAGTAGTGTCGAGAGTGAATGTACGCGCGGAGAGCACAGACGGCTCGCGCATGGCGAGAGTGAATGTCCGCGCGGGAGAGCGTGACTGAACAGGCGAAATCCTCGACGAATTGTCGACGAATCCTCGACCAATTTTCATCCTGATCATAAGCGTTGGTATAGCCGTATTGCTTTCACTCCATCTCAAAATGCCGTCATTTGGGAAACTTTTGGCCTCTCCACCGATGGCAGTATCATTTCGCTCTTCTATTAGATCCTAACCTATCCATGGTTTTGTCGCTACTCTCCAAATTTGAACGCCTACAGTCAACGCGTCGTCTACTGAGTGGCCACACCTTCTATACATCGTTCCAGTCGCCCCCTCAACTCCATCCATGAGTCCATCTGAATAGCGATAAGTGGTTTTCGAGGACCCGTTTCTCGCAGGCAAAGGGTACCCGACAGGAGGCCCGTCGCGCGGCAAGAAGGCAGAGTCAGCGGACGAGTCGCAGCGCGTACTGTAGTTTCGCGTCAAGTTAAATAGAATGTCCCATTGTACGTCCTACATCGCACATCACGCGCTGCGACTCGTCCGCTGACTCTGCCTTCTTGCCGCGCGACGGGCCTCCTGTCGTGCACACACATTGTAGACATCGCACCTTTTAACTTTATGGCCGCGTGGAACCGGCGCTAGTTTGCGGGCGCGGCCGCCTACCCTGACCTATTTGTTTTTCTTTCGTCTTATTGACAAGCAGGGGAGGATACAGTCAGTAAAGTTTCCGTCTAAGGCCGATGTCAGACTTTGCGAATCGCGCGATTCGCTAGCGTCCGCGGTCGCGTTGCGGTACCAGCCAATTGAGTGATTCACTGGCCGCGACGCGACCGCAGACGCTAGCGAATCGCGCGATTCGCAAAGTCTGACATCGGCCTAGCCAAGTGCGAAATTACGTGGAAGCGAATACACTCAGGAGGCCCGTCGCGCGGCAAGAAGG